TTTTTTGTTTGGGAAATTACGCTCTTTCCAATGATGTGCATATTGCCGGGGTTGGTTGCGAAATTAGGGGCAATACTTAGAAAGGTCCTCTTTGGGGCCCTCTTTGGGCCCCTTCCTTTGGATTCCCCGGTAGGTTTCTTCAGCCAGATTGAAGAGGGGGCCCAGGAGAGTGTCTGTGCAAATTTTGAAGAAAATCGTAGGGGCCGCCCCATTGGGCCACAAATTTCAATTGGGTCCCGTGGGCCCCAGGTGGGCCCCATCGAAAAATGTTACTTGGGTTTTTTGTTTGGGAAATTACGCTCTTTCCAATGATGTGCATATTGCCGGGGTTGGTTGCGAAATTAGGGGCAATACTTAGAAAGGTCCTCTTTGGGGCCCTCTTTGGGCCCCTTCCTTTGGATTCCCCGGTAGGTTTCTTCAGCCAGATTGAAGAGGGGGCCCAGGAGAGTGTCTGTGCAAATTTTGAAGAAAATCGTAGGGGCCGCCCCATTGGGCCACAAATTTCAATTGGGTCCCGTGGGCCCCAGGTGGGCCCCATCGAAAAATGTTATTTGGGTTTTTTGTTTGGGAAATTACGCTCTTTCCAATGATGTGCATATTGCCGGGGTTGGTTGCGAAATTAGGGGCAATACTTAGAAAGGGCCTCTTTGGGGCCCTCTTTGGGCCCCTTCCTTTGGATTCCCCGGTAGGTTTCTTCAGCCAGATTGAAGAGGGGGCCCAGGAGAGTGTCTGTGCAAATTTTGAAGAAAATCGTAGGGGCCGCCCCATTGGGCCCCAAATTTCAATTGGGTCCCGTGGGCCCCAGGTGGGCCCCATCGAAAAATGTTACTTGGGTTTTTTGTTTGGGAAATTACGCTCTTTCCAATGATGTGCATATTGCCGGGGTCGGTCGCGAAATTAGGGGCAATACTTAGAAAGGGCCTCTTTGGGGCCCTCTTTGGGCCCCTTCCTTTGGATTCCCCGGTAGGTTTCTTCAGCCAGATTGAAGAGGGGGCCCAAGAGAGTGTCTGTGCAAATTTTGAAGAAAATCGTAGGGGCCGCCCCATTGGGCCCCAAATTTCAATTGGGTCCCGTGGGCCCCAGGTGGGCCCCATCGAAAAATGTTACTTGGGTTTTTTGTTTGGAAAATTACGCTCTTTCCAATGAAGTGCATATTGCCGGGGTTGGTTGCGAAATTAGGGGCAATACTTAGAAAGGGCCTCTTTGGGGCCCTCTTTGGGCCCCTTCCTTTGGATTCCCCGGTAGGTTTCTTCAGCCAGATTGAAGAGGGGGCCCAGGAGAGTGTCTGTGCAAATTTTGAAGAAAATCGTAGGGGCCGCCCCATTGGGCCCCAAATTTCAATTGGGTCTTGTGGGCCCCAGGTGGGCCCCATCGAAAAATGTTACTTGGGTTTTTTGTTTGGGAAATTACGCTCTTTCCAATGATGTGCATATTGCTGGATTTTGTCGATGTTATAGGCCTGAAATTGTTGAAAACGTTTATTTATGCCCCGAGGGCATACTCCCGGGCCCATATATTTGAAGCTGTTTTGTTCGGTTCAGGGGGGCGCTAGCCCCCAAAATTTGGTACTGTTGCACGTAAAATTTTGTCCTCTTTCGAATGACGTGCATTTTTAGCTGTTTTGACGGCTAGAAGTAGGGTTTTCAAAGTTCGTCGATTGTGCCCTGAGGGCATACTGTTTTTTGGGATTTGTGGCCCCCCTGATGGATTCCCCGCATTTTGGCACTAGGATTTTCGATAGAGGACACCATTCTGCACCTCTCCACCAAAATTCAGCGAAATCGTAGGGGCCGTCGATCCCTGCTGAATCCCTGCTGAACCCGCGTATTTACAAATTGCAACCGAGCTCCGCCGTAGGGTATTTTATTTCCGCCGTAGTGTATTTCACTTGGGGGATTTTCTACCATACATCTGCCTGAGCTTAGGGTAATTACAATTTGTCGGCTACGTTCGAAAATGATGCACCTTTTTTCGCAGTATAGGATATTGCATGTGCATATTTCTGCCTTTTTGGGTGCGCTTTATCGGTATTTCGTGAGTAACTCGCGTAAAAACCGTCCGATCGCGATGAAACTTTCAATACCCCCGATTTTATCAATTTTACACCTACCCTGAAAATTTCATGACCCTGACCCAAATGACCTTTGACCTGTAACCTATTTCTCGAGACCATGTTTGGCCCGAATCGCGATTCGGCGTATGTCGGCTCGCATTAGCCGCGCGGTTGCAGTTTTCACGTGGTTTCAAGCGTTGAAACATGTGATATGATGCTGGTCCCATGCATTAGGGTGGGTGTCAAGGTCACCTGAAGGTCAGGTCAGCTCAATGACCTTTGATGACCTCGGTTCACTTTTTCGAGTTTTACATGTTTCTAGGCTAGTTTTTGGAGCTGATTTCGAATTTAGCAACCATTTGAACATCACAGCGGGTGTAACGAAATTATCCAGACACCTTTCTTCCCGCTGTAAAAGCAAAACAATCTGGTACTTTTTCTTTTAACTGAGCTTGTAGCCACCTTTCATAAAAACACAGTTTACTCACCTCGTTGGTTTCTGCATATCTTTGGAGTGGTTTCAAAGGACAGTCAGAGAGGAAATGAGGAACCCACACAGTGGCGAATGTTCTGGAGCATTTCAGCCAATGGATTCTCCAGCACACTGGCTTTGATGCGGACCAACGCCGTCTAAACCTGTGCCTGCGGTTGAGCAGTGCTTATGGCGGGTGGCTCTTCATACACCTCCTGCAGCCTGCTGAACAAGAGCCCACAGGTTTTCGATTGAATTGGGATCGCGACTTTTTCCAAGTCATAAGCGTTAGCCCAGAATGATTGAAGGTTCTATCGGCATCACTTCCCGTTCTTTTCGCGCCGCCACGCATGAAGACAGCGTGGCTTGAATCAGGCATCAGTGCGCGTTCAGAAACCGTGCCCTCCTATGCCGTCTGGTTGAGCGCCTCAAATCATGCTCCACCACCTTCCCTGGAAAAGCTCCACCCTTGCCTATGGGGCAAAATATAAGGGACAAAAACACAAAACAAGACAGATAAAAACAAAGCAAAATTAACTCATTACCTAATGAAATTCAGGCTGGAGCAAAAACATAGGTAAGTTATGTCAAATTAGAATGAAAGATTAAAATCAACCTGACCAGGCCTTACGGTCCGACCGGGTCCTAACCACCTTACTTCGCCTAACTTGACCCAGTTCAACCTAGCCTACCACAACACCTGCAGAGTGCAGAGGTACACTCGGGGGCACCACTCCCTACCTATCGGGCTCCCATGGCTCAGCACTGGCTGCTGCCAGTGTTGCCTGCCCTCAGCACTGCTCAACACTGCCTGCCAGTGCCAGTGCTGCCACATGCTGCCACTGGCAGCAGCCAGTGCTGAGCCATGGGAGCCCGATGGGTAGGGAGTGGTGGAACATCAATCTGCCCCCGAGTGTACCTTCCTGGAAAAATGACGCCCAGGGAGATGACTGTCCAACTTATTGAAATACTACCATGATTGCTTGTCAAAATGTGTGTCATCATGCTCTTGTTTGACAAGTGATGTATAATAAATGTGATATTCAATAATTACTCCTGACTGTTGACTGTTGAGTTATCAAAATATTCAAATAATCAGGGTACAATCCTGTGCATAGTGCACACTAATCATGTTGTTTTTGTGTAGGCCCTGTGCACATTGTTGTGTGCACTGCTATGTGCACCTAAGTAAAAAAGTGACTGGTGGTACATGACAAAAGGTTGAGCAACTGTGAAGTTCATGCCCTTGGTCTTGCTGGTGCCAAATGCCTATAGCTAGGATCAGTGAGGGTTGTAGACATGCTACATACATTGTGCATTGAAGATATTGGCACAAAGTTCATCCGTAATTACTATGCTTAACACCTAATGCAAGAAGCGACATAAATGCCCAGATGATAAAGCTCTCTGGTCAACATCACACAAATTTATTGACATACTTTGCAGGTACATATTTACATTCATGGCAAATACTTTCGATTTGATTCAGAAACTAGTTGCTAGTAAGCTTGCATTTTTGTAGGCACAACAACGACCATATATTAAATCATAAAAAGACCTTCTCATGGCAATCATCAATACCTTTCTACCGAACAAGTACCTTATACCTAGCTTCCATGCAATGATTCTAAAATTTGTCCGCAATCCATCTATATCTCAACTGACACAATGAATTTCAAATACCCTAACAAAACCTATAACTGTACATAAGAAGAATGCAATACTACAAGAATTGTGAATTTCTGAAGTTATTCTCACATGCTGAATGTTGAAACTCTACTTTTGTCGTCCATTTCCATGTTTGATTGAGCCATCATATAGAACTGTTTCCGTTCTACAGTCACAAGCTTTCCCACAAATCTTGAATTTTTACACATCATCTTGAACCATGCTCCAGTCTTTCCAACAAAGCAATATTGATTTGTTGCAGCAGCTTCAGATCATGATATGCTTGAGGTTTGTTACGTACCATTTGTCAGACAAATCTCAACAAAATGTGCATCAATTCCCAAGCTAAGTAATTGATCATATCAGTATTTGCAGTTTCCACACAATGTTTCATAATACTATTCTATGTTTATATAAAGAACCTCAAATAATCCACAATTTGTTATTGAAACACTCCCACTTCAAGAATTCACAGCAATAACAGTACAAGTTGAGAAGCAAACAAACATTGCGCCACATTTCGTATGAAACGCGCCATCGCCCTGAAGTTTCTACCACAGACGGTAGTTCAACCGCAGCCGTAGTGCGAAAACCCCTGCCCACCTTACCCCACGGCGGAGCTCGGTTGCAATTTGTAAATACGCGCTGAACCCCTGCTGAATCCCTGCTAACTTCCGTTACATGGAGTTCGGACCAACTTTATTAAGAAAAAATAGCCCGTCGTTGAGGCAATCAGAGAAGCCCGTACGACACGGGTGGTGAATGATCCTATTTCAAAATTTAAGATAACAAAACAAATACATATACCACTGAAAAATTTACACGTCTTCGATCTAGTATTCAATGACCGTGCTTCGATCGAGCGCGCAATCAGCGCGTGGGCGACGATTTTCTGCGCAATTATACGTATCTCCTACGTCAGAAATGCCTACTAAAATGCTACCATATTGCCACGAGAATACTTTAATTTGGTAGCCTTGAAATGAAGCTTGTTTTTGGTGTTTTTGTGTTTGTATTTACACTACACTCGCGTGTAGACGTATCAACAGATCTACCTAAAGATACATTTTATTTGCCTATATTGCGCTGGGAAGTGTTGCTTTGCATTGCAAGAACTCGCTAGCACAGTATGTATTGAGTGTAGATCAAGATAGAATATATTTGCTCAAATGTAGCCAATGTAGGACTTTTTTTTGTTTTATTTGCTTTTGTCCATTTTGATTTTTTCTGAACTGAAACAGCTGTTAATTATTCAAATTCCGTGAGAATATTGCAGCCTTCAACAATTTTCATGAACATTATTATTGACTCATATGTCACAGTTTGCACTGAGACCCATGCATGGAATGGTATAAATCCTTTTCAGGTTTTCCTAAAGTGAAGTGAGGGATGCCTTGCATGCCGTCTCTGCAGGTACCTTTTTTAATATTTTAATTTTATGCCTCCCTGTCTGGTCATTTGGAACAGCTTGCTATAAGTTCACCTTTGTCTTCAAGCTGATGCACAGAATATGATGCCTACCTTAATTTATGTAACCCTACTTTGCTTTATTTCTGATGCTGAAGATGGGGGTGGGTTGGGAACAAGTAAGTCAATGAAAAAAAAATGCTGCAGAGTGCATATCCAAATAATCCATTCTATCAAGTGGCTATATTCTCATGGCTCATGACTTATGTGTTCTTTTTCAGTCATTTGAAAATGTCAGACTCTGAGGATTCAGACAGTTTTCTGAGTGCTGATGAGGGGGAAGCCAAGGCTGATGCTGGAAATGAATCAAGTGACATCACCCTCTCAAGTGACTCTGAGCCTGAGGAGGGAGACAAAGCTGCTGCTGGAGACCATGAGTCCAGTGACATAACACTATCCAGTGATGAAGATGATGATGATGATAAAGGGCCTCACTTAAAGAGTGCAGGTAAAGAAGAGACTATGGCTAAGGAGGTTAGCACCAGTGTCAAAGAAGCTGAAGTTAAGAGCAAGCCTGACAAGCCCTCTGAAGCTGATGTTAGTAAACATGATGACAACAAGAAGGCTGCATCAAAGTCAGAACACAGTTCTGATGCCTCATTTTCATTGTCTGCTGTAACCTCTGCTCTTCCCTCCCATCCAGACAGTGGTAAGAGTGCTGCTGTAAAATGTGATGCAGCTGCCTCTGAACCACTGGACACAACTGTTCCAGTGCCCACAACTAAAACTTCCAAAGCTGCAACAGCTGAGACACTAACAAGCAGTACTGAGACAGATTCAGCTGTCAAAGAGCAACTGTCAGACAAAGAGGCAACTCCTGTCAGTAAGGCACCAGTTGCATCTGCACCTAAGTCCAATGATGTGCAAGAGCAGCATGCCACTACTGCTGTAACTCAGAGTGATGCCTCTGTCCCAGATGTTTCTGATGGCTGGGGAGACTTTGATGATGATATCATTCTGCCTGATGATCCAGGTGCCAGTGAAGAAACCAACAAAACAATAACACCTAAGGGTACAGACACTGCAACAGTACAGTCTGTACCAGAGGAAACCACTCCCAAGGGAACACCTGATATGGCAGCTGAGTCCCAGTCAGTCACTGCTACACCAGAGAATCAGTCAGCATCCCAGCAGGAGTCCTCGCCGCCCCCGTCGGAGCCGGCGGCGCCCTCGGAGCCGGTACCGGAGTCTGCGGCGCCCCCGTCGGAGCGGCGCCGCCCCGAGCGTCGGGAGCGCCGCGGACCGCTTAAACTGGGTGCCAAGAAGCTCGGTGCCAAGGTGGCCGCGCCGCAGCCGGAGCCGACTAACGATGACGCTCCGGCTCCAGCCAAGGAGAGTGGTGACCCGAGGTCGACGACGGGAGTCAGATGTGCTGAGACCTCACCGTCGGCACCGGCCGCAGCCGCCTCCACTCAACAGGAGGAACAGGTACTATTTACCAGTGGAACCGTGTCCAGACATTCGTGACAGAGCACAGTTTTTTTACGATGGTTCTGTGGTGGTCGAACTTAACATTTTGTGCTGTCGATAGTTCCAATAGGTGAAATCACTGTTGTCTTTGAGATGTTAATCCCGCCAGTTTCAGTCATTGTTTCTGGTCGTTGCACAGTGTATCTATCCCACCTCTGACGGCAAATGCCTCTCCCTGTCCCCGACAGGACGGCTGGGGCGGCTGGGAGGCCTGGGGCACGTCGCTGCTCTCCTCAGCTGCCGGCGTCACCAAGACGGTGCTGGAGACGGTGGAGACCGGCTTCGGAGCGCCCGAGCCCGAGGACCTGGCGCGCATTACCCGAGAGGGACGGCAGAAGCGGCAGCAGCAGCAGGAGGAGGAGCAACAACATCGGGAACAGCAGGCGGCGCAGGCCGGTAGGTTATTTACGTAACATATGAATGCTGGTGGATGAATGTCCGTTTTGCCTGCTTTTTGTCCATTTATGACACAAGCTAAATGTTGGCCTCGTTTATCGTGAATAGCTTTATGAACATTTAATGCAATACATCGAATCGCGCTGACGCCTCGCTAACAATTATCTCCGTATCCCTTTCAGCTGAGACGCCGGCGCCGGACGGCGGTCTGGCCGACTCCGGTTTGGGCCTGGGCTCGTGGTTCGGCGGCGTGTCGCGTGTCCTCGGCCAGACCTCCTCCCTGGTGGTCAACACGGGCCTGGACACGCTGGAGGCCATCGGCAAGAAGACGATGCACGTGCTGCAGGACGACCAGCTGGGCATTCACGACACCATCACCCAGCTGAGCGGCCAAAAACCCTCACTGGCGCAGGTGGGTTTACAGGAACCATCACTTGCAGATGTGGTTACTTAAATACCCTCGGTCCTCACTGGCACAGACAGAGTCCATCACTGTTTCGGGTTTTGAAGAGCAATGGATTGTTGGTGGGCTTATTTTTACCCACGCCGATGTTGGATTTGTTGAACCTCGTTAGAGTTACCTGTCTCAGTCACTGTCCACTGCTCGTCACATCTACCTATCGCGATGTGCCTGTGACCCTAGCTGTCAGTTCCTCTGCTGTGCGCTGTTACCGTCCCCCGTTTCCAGGCGCTGCGGGAGGCCCGCGAGCGGCGAGGGGACGCCGTGCCGTCCTCCTCCGCCGCCGGGGACCGGGCTGCCGCCGCCCAGCCGGTCACCTTCACACACATGTTCGACCAGTGCGACGGTACGGCTGAACTTAGTGAGAGGGTGGACCGCGCTGGGCCTGGAATTCAGCGGGGTGTTGTTATTTTTCTCTCTTAATTATTTTTTTATGCAGTTTGCTTATTAATTAATGTTGAATTCAGGGAGCAACATCGAGTCTTTATTTTTAATATAATGCTGATTGCTGACTGTTAGTAATGATTTTGATGTCAATGCAACTTCGATCGATAGCTTTGTTACGGCAGATCTGGCGTGACAAATGTCAAGCGTCATGGGCCGTTTCTGCTCGCAAACGCCAGCCCTCACCATTCTTATTCACTGCATTGTCACAATTCTTCTAACTCGTTTTAGCCGGAACCTCTCAGCCTTTATACACCCTCTCACCATGGCCACTCCTCCCCTTCATCCTGTGCAGGAACCGTCCATCTGGAGGCGCTGGAGATGCTCTCCACCCGCTGCCGGTCCCGGGTCAACGCGGCCAAAGCCAGGGTGGACGAGGGCGTCGGTGTCATCCTGGACACCATAGAGGTCGGTAGGGGTGTGGTAGGTCGGAATGGATTGGCACAGTTTAGTAGAGGTCTAGAAGGGTTGGTAGAGGTCAGTGTAAAGGTTGAGCAGATGTTTTTGGTCGTCGTTGGAGGTCGGTTGAGGTGGTAGGGTTTGACAGAGGCTATTCCAAGTCGGAGAGATTCAGCAGATGTCGGAAGGTGTCGTTAGGTAGGTTACTAGGAGCCAAAAAAAAGCCAGAAAACGTAGAAGACTAGACTTACGACTGTTACGATAGCTTCTAGGTGTCACCTCCATGACGCTCTACCTGCTGCGACTGACACTGACCGCTGCCCCCGACAGGACCTGTGCAACTCGGACGAGCTGGAGGAGGTTGAGGTCGGCGACTTTGACAGCGAGCTCTCCTCACTGGTCGCCCGGCTCGGCGTGTCCGTCAAACCCACACGGCTCATCATTGTGAGTATGGGACGGGTAAAATAACTCCTATATATCCTCCCGGCTCGGTGTGCCCATCAAACCCACGCGGCTCATCATTGTGAGTACGGGGCGGGTAAAATAACTCCTATATATTCTCCCGGCTCGGTGTGCCCATCAAGCCCACACGGCTCATCATTGTGAGTACGGGACGGGTAAAATAACTCCTATATATCCTCCCGGCTCGGTGTGCCCATCAAACCCACACGGCTCATCATTGTGAGTATGGGACGGGTAAAATAACTCCTATATATCCTCCCGGCTCGGTGTGCCCATCAAACCCACGCGGCTCATCATTGTGAGTACGGGGCGGGTAAAATAACTCCTATATATTCTCCCGGCTCGGTGTGCCCATCAAGCCCACACGGCTCATCATTGTGAGTACGGTACGGGTAAAATAACTCCTATATATCTCCCGTCTCGGTGTGCCCATCAAACCCACACGGCTCATCATTGTGAGTATGGGACGGGTAAAATAACTCCTATATATCCTCCCGGCTCGGTGTGCCCATCAAACCCACGCGGCTCATCATTGTGAGTACGGGGCGGGTAAAATAACTCCTATATATTCTCCCGGCTCGGTGTGCCCATCAAGCCCACACGGCTCATCATTGTGAGTACGGGACGGGTAAAATAACTCCTATATATCCTCCCGGCTCGGTGTGCCCATCAAACCCACACGGCTCATCATTGTGAGTACGGGACGGGTAAAATAACTCCTATATATCCTCCCGGCTCGGTGTGCCCATCAAGCCCACACGGCTCATCATTGTGAGTACGGTACGGGTAAAGTAACTCCTATATATCCTCCCGGCTTGGTGTGCCCATCAAGCCCACACGGCTCATCATTGTGAGTACGGGACGGGTAAAATAACTCCTATATATCCTCCCGGCTCGGTTTGCCCATTAAACCCACGCGGCTCATCATTGTGAGTAAGGGGCGGGTAAAATAACTCCTATATATCTCCCGTCTCGGTGTGCCCATCAAACCCACACAGCTCATCATTGTGAGTACGGGACGGGTAAAGTAACTCCTATATAGCCTCCCGGCTCGGTGTGCCCATCAAACCCACACAGCTCATCATTGTGAGTACGGGACGGGTAAAATAACTCCTATATATCCTCCCGTCTCGGTGTGCCCATCAAACCCACACGGCTCATCATTGTGAGTATGGGACGGGTAAAATAACTCCTATATATCCTCCCGGCTCGGTGTGCCCATCAAACCCACGCGGCTCATCATTGTGAGTACGGGACGGGTAAAGTAACTCCTATATAGCCTCCCGGCTCGGTGTGCCCATCAAACCCACACGGCTCATCATTGTGAGTATGGGACGGGTAAAATAACTCCTATATATCCTCCCGGCTCGGTATGCCCATCAAACCCACGCGGCTCATCATTGTGAGTACGGGATGGGTAATACAACTCCTATACATCTTCCGGCTCGGTGTGCCCATCAAACCTATGCGGCTCATCATTGTGAGTACGGGACGGGTAAAGTAACTCCTCTCTCTAGTCTCGTCTAGTCTCTGGTCTTCTCACTAGTCTCGGTGTGCCCATCAAGGTCACTTTCGCCATTTCGTGATTGTTCGTGTTATAACTCTTGTTGAGATCCCATTAGCTAGTCAGTAACCAGCATCAAGCGTACCAGTCCTGCGGCTGTGGCACCACAACCGGTTTATCGCTCTGATATTTGGTCACCCTTCGACCTCCCTGTGGCCCACATGACCCCTCTGTGACCGTCCCACCCCCGCCTCCAGGCTCAGTCGTCTGCCTGCCAGTGGCTCTCGTCCGGTCCCTCTGATCCGGCGGCGCCGCGCGAGGTGCTGACCCGCGCCGTCCGCGCTGCCGCCGAGGTGGGCGCCGGGCTGGCCGAGTTCCTGCACAAGCTGGCAGAGCTGCGGCTGGTGGAGCCCGGAGGGGACCAGGCGGCGGCCGGCAGACACCTGGCCGCCCTGGCAGCCCTGGTGGCTGCCCAGACCGGGGCGCTGGCCGCACGGTTCGCCGAGACCCTCAGCGGACAGCCCGACGAGCGGGCCGCGGCGGCCACCACCGATATTTACTTGGAGGTGAGACTGGGGGACTGGGGATGGGAGCTGTTGGAGTTATTGGAGTAATACTTTCAGTGGTATGAATTGATGAAGAGATTAAGTCGCTTGATGTGGAACATTTGTGTAAGGGGACGATGTCTTACAAATATTGAAGTGGTGATTCAATGAATGGCTCAATGGCATATTTCTGCCAGGCTCGAGTGCCAGTGTAGCACTCACATATGTAACTTTTTGTGCTTATTTTGCACAATACACGAAACCGTTTGGAGTAGTGTAATCTCATTGGTGCTTATTTGTGATATTTACAGCAAATCCCATTTTCCTTTTCAGGTGAGCTACCTGCAGAAGTTTTGCGGCGACTCGCTGAGCCTGATGGCACCTGTGCTGCAGATGGCGGCACTGAACGAGAGGTCATGAGACAGGGAGCATCACGGCCCGCTTCTCCGTGAGTGTATACTGGCTCCTCGCCAGTTGACGTCTGCTGAACCATGTCAACGCCTTGTGGCTGTAACGTTTTGCCGGGTGCTGCGTGATGAAAGTGGACGATGAATCTTGTGAATTGAATATCGGCCGAATGCTTTACACTAATCCAACGATTTGATAGAGTTGGTGCTTGCGTGCAATGAATTAAGACACGGCATTGAATAGTTCCCAGTTGCCATTGGCCTGAGAGTATGACTGGGAAAATGTGTTTATCTACACTATAGCTATAACTATAACTATTTCAGTGTCGGTGAATTATGATGTGAGGTAGAACATGATTGGGTCACATGCGGTGCACAGGCAATGCTGGAAGTGTCTCTATTTTGGGAATGGGTGCCACTGGTTGTGCTTAGGGTTTGCTTTTTGAAAGTATTTTTCAAATAAAGATGCCTAAGAAGTAAGAGTGACGTTCGTTACAAGGTGGGATTTCGTAGAGTTATTCGTAGAGTGGAGTGGAGTAGAGAAGATTATGCGTTGAGTTTCATAGAGACAAGGACAGTTTGCAGCTCTCGTCTTATCACAAAGCGTCAGTTTATGTGGTCGGATGTATTTCTGGCATATAGGTACGATGTGGTCGTGGTCACACCGGGTCTAGCTACAAAAGTGCCCATCGTTCATCACCAGTCTGTACACCCCATTCCACAGTGGAATGTCACAGTTCCCGCCCCCCACACACGTCCATCTAATTCCACAGTGGAATGTCACAGTTCCCGCCCCCACACACATCCATCTAATTCCACAGTGGAATGCCAGTCCTCGCCCCACACTCGAGCCCACGCCATTCCACAATGGAATGTCGGGATCCCCGCTACAAATATTCCACAGTGGAATGTGGCGACTCTCACCCAGCTCACGGCCACCTCCTTCCAGTGGAATGTCAACCCCCGGCACACGAGACAAGTCTCCCGATTCTTCACCAATCCATCACACACTAACATACTTTTTGTCTCATTCTGCCGCATCCGACCGCATTCAGTGGACGTTTAGATCTGCCCCGCACGTGGATGTACAGGTGTGGACATTCACACACCGCTCACATATGTTCGTGCCAAAGTATGTGCACGGTGAGTCATCAGTGAATGATTCACGTTTCGGAGCGGCAGAGACTTGTTGGGGTCTCGGAACGTAACACTCGCAATCGCTGTGTTTTCCTCTGCCGGTGACATGGATTCTGGTCAGTTGAAGTTGTCATGTCTATCGCACTGTCACTCCTGGCGTGCCTGGACTCCGTTGGCTCAGTTGTGTCTCCGTTGTGTAGAGGCACCTGCATTTCTTATCTAACTGCACTGCGATTGAAATGCTTCACAGTTCTACTAGATGGCCTTCCAATCGAAGCATCGCGCCAGCGTGTCATAAATTGAAGCACGCAATGTTGCCTTTAGAGGTGCCTCTGTTCTGGAGTCCCGTCTCGAACAGCGACCACGTCCTAACCGAGACACCAAGTCCTCATGGACCACTCACAAACAGCCACACTCCACTCGGAGGCCACCTGACGCTCGCCCGAGGTCAGCCCGGGTCACCTGACGTCCTCACGTCACTCCACAGGGCGCCTCGGTGGTCATTTGACCCTGCCGGCCTTGACGTCTGTGATGGCGCCCCACAGCTCGATGACAAAGTCGTCGGTGAAGCCAAACGCCTCCAGGTCCGAGCTGTCGATGGCCTCGGCAAAATCCATCGTGTTCTCCTTGTTCTCGCCCAGCTCCCAGATCTGAGTCGCTGGAAGGGGAGAAGAGTGGTCAGTGGCTGAACGTACTGAAGGAGTTGAAATGGACGAGCAGATTTGAAGAGTAAGAATGTATCATCGGTCAATGGGACAGTGATACGTGTACGGGTGGTAGTGAACGTAGCGTGTGAGTCGAAGGCTTTGGCAGCTCAGTGCTAAAAAGTCACGACTCATAGATACAAATCATAGCAGCTGCCATTTTTTTTTTTTTTTAATGGCGTCGTGTACTATTTAGCGACATTGGATATTTACTATCGGATTCCTTCCATTCCAACTCCTATATTTAGGTCAATCTGAAGCGAGGCACGGCCGCAGTCTTGTCGCTATCGAATCGAACCAACACGTGCCGCACGATATTGGACGAGGGCCGCCACAAACGGAACCTCAGATATGCCTGCGATATCCACTATCGGCGCAAAAACGCACAAATGTCGCCGTTATTGTACGCTCGGGCGCGGTGTCGGTTTGTTTATCTGGGTCCGTGCTGGTGACACAGGGCGGCACTCTGAGGTCAACAGCGCACTCGAGACAGACGGACGCTTACCGAGCTCCGAGTCGTTGATGCCGAGGAAGCTCTCCAGGAGTGTGTTGATCTTGTTGGTAGCCGCCTCCACCATCCCACAGGGCTGTTGACAAGGGCAGAAATGTTAGTCATTGGGTGTTGGGCTAATCGACAGAGAAGTTTTCATGTGTGTGAAGGTTAGCGTATTTGCTCGAGTTTATTGGTTTTGAGGTAATCGTTGTTTGAGCGGCTGAGGTTCGTGTAAGGCAGGTGATCCGCAGCCACTTGAGACGTAAACATGTTTTCCATGAACATCTATGAAAAGTAGCTCACATCTATGTATACATAATACAAATTAGCACTTTCCAGGACAGGTTTTCCATGGTTCACCTCTCCTTCGCTCATTATATCGCGGTCTGGTCATCAGCGCTCCATTCATGTATTAACCCCTTTTCTAACCCATCTGAGCCCTCTTTCCCTCGCTCCTCATCCCATTTACTCACCCCCCCCCCCCCACGACCCTCGGTGACCAGAGTCACCACTCACCGCCTCCTCGACGCGCGCTTGACCGTTGGCCCGCAATCGGAGGGTGGCCTTGCCGGACCCGTAGCCGGCCTTCTTCCCCGCCCGTGGGTCCGTGCGCGGTCCGATGTTGGCTGGAACAGAACGTGTTTCTACGGTGAGGATCAGGAACCCAGCATGGGCTCGTACTCAGCGATGTATTTGAGGCTTAAATAAGTGGTACGCAATGTCGCACGGTATGGAGTATTTCGTTTTTGGCGTAATAGCATGCATAAAAAGGTGCGGAGTGTTTATCGGTTTCACTCGAAGCGGACGTGCATGGGCTGGACTTGGAGGCATTCGACACACTGCGGCTTCCATGATTTCTCTCTAATCCCTGTCAGTCCGTTGCATTGCACAGTGCACGCACAGTGCACACGTGGCTGGATTCCGTATGACATTAAAAGCGAGGCTAATTGCGTGGCAGAGCTGTGACTCATATGGACGCATTTCTTTGTTCAGCCAGTGATTCAAGTCTAGCAGTTACGTGAGCTCTAGATAGTCAACAAAGCAGCGAGCTCAAAAACAATATTTTGATATATGGCTTAACCTATTGAACACCTGATTGTACCTACTATAACCCGATAGCGTTCCATCCTAGAATGCACGGTATTCATTAGTGCACTAATTGCTACCCACAATTGACTGACTCACCGAACCCGGCCTTGAGCGGCTCCACGACCCGCAGCACGAACGCCTGGTCCACGGGGATCTCCTTGAGCATCTTGGCTACCTCGTAGTGCCGGCTGCCCACCAGACTGACGCCGTTGATCTTCTCAATGTGGTCGCCCACCTGGAGACAAAGAACGTGCTGTAAATGATGCTACCTACGCAATGGCGGCCGTGGGCCGTGGGTCCATCGTCGTTCATTTGTCGAAAAAAGGCTGGTCAATTTGAGAGTGAATGATCTTCCGTATTTTCAGTTTATCTTATTCGATAACAAATGTTTTTTGCCTGAAACGACAAAATAGTAAGAAACCAACGCGACTGCGCAAACAATTTACACCAAACTTAAATCATGACGGCTTTCACTGAGTACGTCGCCATGCACGCTGCACATAGGTACTTAAAAAAAAAACGACCAAGGCCGAATTTACTGAGGAAGTTTTGGTGACGGCTAAACAAGGTTTGCATCATGCATGGTATTGTTTTGCATTTGACCAAACCTTTGTCACGCTATCGGGCTACGGTTATATTTCAAAGCTGCACGAACGGGATTCAAACTTGTCCTATGTATATTGTTATTTGTAACGAATCCATGACAGCTGTAGAATGACGATAATAATGGCAATAATGACGGCTTCATTGTACATTAGCATTGTGCAATAAACTTGGGTTATTATTGTCAAGTTTATTGTTACGTCGGATAGAAGAAATACTCGGTTTGTTGCCTTTAGAGTCATGTGACGTAGGTATAGGCTCCCTAGTTACATGCTCAAACCTAGTACTCAGCCATGTGACAGAAGAGACAAAAACGCCTGTTAAGTTGATAGCCCGCAGCTGTAAGTACAGATCGAGGACAGACACCACACCTGTGGCGGCTCTATCCTGTCGACATATGTCAGCACCCCGACTGTACTCGTAGCCGTGGTACGGCTATCTGACACGTCAGATGCTTCCCCTGCAGTACCTGAACGTGCGGTATCCGTGAGATGACGCTGCCCTCCTTGATGCGCTTGATGAAGGCGTAGCCAGCGCCGTTGTCGGTGATCGTCAGACCCAGCGCCTGCTCCGTCTTCACAATCTCAATCTCCTTGGCCTGACCTGGTGACACCAAACCGATGTTACATAGGGCGCTGATGTCAGGGAGATGCTTTCATAATGTAATGTCCAACACAGAACTAAGTCGTTATACAAATACCGGCAGTGACGATTGACTTGCAGTCACATGGCTCGACTATGAACGTTTTCATATTGGGTCTACTTGTTTGTGTTTATAAAGTATATGTGACTCACAAAGACTGAAGTCCCGTTGAATGCATTGGTGCTATACCAAAACAAGCTTTGCATAGCAAAATGTCGTGCACTATAAGCATGTGCTTTAGCCTTTCCCTTGTTTCTACTTTTCCTTTGTGGCGCCGCGCCACACTACAACGCCGACTGCTTCAAATTTTACCTCCTCTTGCGACAAAGCAAAGGGTCACCCGTCTTCCGATGGAAGATTTAATGGCATGAAATGCACGGATTTCCTGACGTGCTATCTTGACGCTGAAGGCTAAAGCCCACCGTTAACCCTAAGCACAGACTACTGGCCCGTTATGATCCGCTCTAGATCGTTTCAAGACTTGCCTTTTCTATGTGCGAATATGAAATCCTCCAGGCCGATCTGCCCTCCGAGAAGTTTGGCCATGTCCAGCTTGTGCGTGTTCAATGTGCAGAATAGTACCTGAAAGACACAGAACGGGACACGTTTAAACGCTCGCCGAGCAGAAGACTCACGAACTATGATCCACGGGCTAAGTAGTAAAGAATGCCCCACCGCATATGGATGAGTCTCGTTTACCACAACGGCGTCTTATAGCTGCTCGCTTCACCGCCGATTTCCCATGCCCCGTCAGTCCGGTGTTAGCGCCTCGTGCCGTGCACCGCCCACTGCCCTGTGGCGCGGTGCACACGCGCGGTCATGTGGTCAAAATTGAGTCTCACGGTGATGTAGTGAAGCTGGAGTTTCGTGCTGGTGAATGGCATTGCAGCGAGATGCCATTGTGCCGCCCGAGAAGCATGAGCCATAGATTGGTATGTGATATTCGTTTCAAACGGATACGAGAAGATTGCCATTTCCGTTTCACCGTACGACATAATAAATCATATTCGGGGTAGTTCTATTCATCAAAAGTGGTTGTTAAGTAGCCTCGGGGAACGGCAATATGTACCCATAAGTCTACGTGTTAAGTGGTATTTTCAGATTAAATGGAGCTATAGATAATTTAACTTTATATGCGCCGACCACCGAATACCAGCATTTTACGGAGCATCCGTTGCCTGCGGTGCTCAGCTGTCACCCCCCCCCCCAATTTCCTCCTCCAATCACCCCTCCCCCGATCACAGCCTGTCAGCGGCCCGGTTCAGTACCCGTCTGACTCGCACCTCCCCGCCATGTGCCGTGCACCCGTGTGGCGTGGGACGTATTCCGACACTGGAGCTGCCATGGCGCCGTGCCGCCACATAGGCCGACTACGCCCCTGAAACGGCTACGCCCCAGCACGGCGCGGCGAGCCGGAACGGACCGATTTGGTCACCAGTTACGTTACCAGTGGTTGGTAGAACGTGGGTCGTACGGATAGTTCAGGATGCGGGGTCATGGGCTGGAGAAGCGAGTTGACAATCGTCAAAATTGTGACACGTTCGTAACAAAAATGCATAGTGAAAAGTTTTATGTTTATCGTTCCAGTTTTTGTGTCATAACCTCCAATCTTGAAGACAAAATGAACGATAAAAATTGACATTGACACATGCTTCAAGTACCTTTATCCCGAAGTAACAGCTGGTTCGTTTAATGCTTGAGAACCTACTTGGGTGGGCCACATCGGGTCCGTACACACATCTCGGACTCCAACATACGAGTTCTACGGTGTGTTTGGGCCGAACATTCCGTTATGGAGGAACGGCGGCACACAAACAGTACAAAAACTGGCCACCAGAAAAACAGACAGCCTGACGTGCTGAACCGTGCCGGGGAGGGAAGGGGTGGGGGTAACGGAGCTGAGCGAGGGCGTCGTGACCCACCGAGGTGCGGGCAGTGACCCGCGCCACCGGGACACATGAGAGCTGAGAGATCCTGTGAGCTATGTATAGTGCTGTAGACTTAACAGTTACCTAAATTTAAATGTCCCGCGAGACATCATCGAATGCATTCCCGAGGTTTCTGGTGACGATCGCTAAGAGGTCATAATGGCATAACAATAATGAGTTCCATTATCATAATTACATTAATAGGCACCGCATAATGAGTAGGTACCTATTCTAGAAATAAATGCAAGATATAAAATCAAACGCTTCACGGTGATGCAAAAAGGGTACCTTCTGTATGGGAAAGGTTCATTCCTGTTTTTTTAACTGACCGTGTCCGTCGACAATATCATTTGGCTAAATACATATAGTGAGAGCGCCGAGCGGGCGCTTAACCACTCAACCTTATGTACTGCTGAGATCAGCTAGCACCCTGGCTGGTAGGTGATGGTTACTGGCTGGCATCAAACCACAAACGGCCGCCACAGACCTCCGCTAACTAGACGGCACACGCGGCGGACAGGGCCACCCAGCCCTGATCTCGGCGGATTTGAGTTGAGAAGTGACCCAGCGGGGGTATAACCACAGAGCTGGATAAAACCGAACGTTCATAGATGATCCATGGATTAATGCAGCGTGAGTCCACTGTGAGCTCGGCCGTCGGCGTGCAGAGTTCGCTGTGAGCCCAGCGCGAGTTAATCGTGAGTTCAGCATGAGTTGAGTTAAATGCGAGCCAGCGTAGCTTTAGGTCACCGTGCGGACTAAACGAACTTGGAAGTTGGAAAGTCATGCGAGAGCCACGTTTCGTCCAAACATCATTTTTAAGGAATGAGCTGATTGTGAGCTCAACATGAGCTCAGGATGCAGGCTAAAACTGAACATAAATAAGGTGATCTCAGCGTGACCTACACGAACCGCCTCCCCCGTCTGATGCGGACAAGTCCGCCGAGGCCGGCCGGGACGGTGGCTGGACAGAGTGCACACTCAATTAACGCGAACCGTGCAGCGGCAACATGCGATCACTAAACCTGACGTGCATGGCAGCCAACCAGCCCGTGAAAAACCGTGCATGAAGTGGCTTTCCGCTGCAGACCTGCAGAGGTCTTTGAACTTTGATGGATCTCTTGGACTCGGAGCATGTGTGAGTGCTGAAGTGAAGATATCGAGCAACGCAGCCATGTTATCACCAAATAGTGACAGTCATTAGTGTGAGATTAGATTAAATGAGAGATTAAACATTTAATTTGTATCACTGTTTCCGGGGATAACTACTCGGAATGATTTATGCCTGCACATCGGAACTAGCCAACTGCCTCCAACCAAACAATCCCCAGCAAAGCTGGCGGTCTCTCACGATCCGCCTCGGATGCCGGAATCGTGACGGTGATAGCCATCTGGCCACAACACACAAATCCCTCCGAATCCAGCGGGAGAAAGTCGCGTCTGCCGGGACCCAGCTGGCCGTGCCCGCCACGCTACACCCGCTGCCCCGACCGCACCGGGTCACGATACTAGCGTGATTCCCCGGCGAGCCGGGCTAACTAGCTCACCGAGCGTGGAATATTGGCCGGTGCGTCCCAGGTGCCACACAACTGGGCCACCCCAGTGAAAGTCGGGGGCGGCGGGGCGGTGCGTATAATCTACCGACCGGGGAGCGTGGCGGGCGGTTACCGCCGCGCAGCTGCTCCCTCGAACCGACGGCGGATGTTCGTGCCTCTTGTGCGTGAGGGGTGAGTGAGCGCGTGAGAGGGTCTGGGTGCAGTGGATAGACACTGACACGGAGGTATTGTTGACAGGATGATTGTATCAGCGAGACTGCGACAGAGGTAGAGAAGATGCGGCATTGTGTGCTGATGGCACATGAGGCACACCGTGGAGATATACTAAAATTGGTACAAGTACCAGTTCCGTTCCACTGACACCGGTTCAGTTCACTTATACTTGTCGCTCCCCACTCAGAGCTCCATCTGAGAGTCCCTGCTCACATGCTCACTGCTCAGCGCCCAGCGCAGCTGTCAGTATTAGGCAGGTATGCCCTCTCTGTGCTGCTGCACGCGGACCGCACGGACCGTGACCGTGCGCCTGCACACCTCCACCTCACACTGCATCAGAGACCCCGCTATATTCCCCAGTTCCCAGTGAACAGAGGGCACAGACACCACGCGTCGAACCGCTCTAACCCGCTCCTCTCCAGTGCAACAGACCGAGACGGGTGGGACGCACCCAGGGCCGGAGCGGCCGCTGTATAGTCAGGCAGTACCCGGCAGTCGTTTTCTCTGCACAACAGCTGCACTGGGGCGAAAGTTTGCCGGCAGCTTGAATAGCCGAGATGAGTTTTTATATTCTTAATTATGTAGATTGTAGATGTAATTGAAGAAATCTCGAGGTGGCTGTACTTTATAGGCGAAAGCCACCAACCTTTATGCCTACTTATAGGCCAAAAGTCATGAACTTTTTTCCATTTGCAGCTACTAACGTGGTATGTTTTGATAATTATTATTCTTATTTGAGAAAAGTTCAAATCCTAATTACCTACAGTCGTAAGCTGCATGACTTGGCTTTATTCAGCCCAAGACCGAATGCAGAGACAAAGTGATAAGTGTGATAACGTAATATCTACATTCTCTGTTTAGGAGCCATTTTCTCGTCTCCATTGGACGTCCGTGAGGTTATCTCGGATCATTGTTCCAACTTCCAACTTCATCAGATATTCGCCATTATATAGTAGAGTGGCCTTGGGCTGAGGCTGTCTCACGGTCGCGTCCACCAAACGTACGCAAATGAAAGGACGAAAAGACCGAGTCTTTATACGGCGCGCGGCATCCGTGTCAGTTCCTTTGACCTATACTGTCTCACACTGGCTCTTGTAGATATCTTTTCTTTCTGTAGCTGAGTGGCAAAGCGAAATTGTTTAGGACTTGATAAGCCTGTTCTTGTGCTTTATTATGCCTTTGCCCTTTGCCCATCATTCAGTGGATATTTGTATGAAAAAAGAATGTGTCGCTTCGACGGACACGTTTACTGTTTGACGTCGTCTCACTTGCTCATGTCAAACCGTCGGGAAGTCGACACGCCTCCGACAGTCGACACGTTTCAGACTGGAACAAGGCACATACCCACTATACACAACATGAAGGATCAGAGTGGATAACGAACAATTACCTACCAGGAAACCTCCGAGCTCGAGCGTTCTCGCACCTGCGACAAGCTAGGATCGTGATATTTTCTGGGATTAGGACTAATGCCAATGCGGAATTCACATACCCCATAACGGTTAATTATAATGCTCGAGCCTGCCATGGCTATTTTCAGGACGGCCTTCAAGGCACCTACACCATGCACGTCCGCATCATGGCCTCCACGGGCTGGTTTCCTCCGCGGAATTGCGTCTATGGGCTACTGATCAGTTTCCTGGGATTCTCATATTTCCTGAAACGTTATACCGGCTGAAAAGAGCCGTGCGCGCCGTGCGGTCTCATTTGCTGGCGATGCGTGGAAGCGCGAACATTTTTTATGCATAACTTCATAGGAACCTTCAGACGGTTGGAGCATGTAGGGGCATTCCACGTCAAATCAAACACCGAAATCCGTCATCCCCTTCGATTTTTTTGAAAATTTGTAGGCAGACTGGGCATGGTTCAAAACTGAGTTACGTAT